TTTATTTTATTTTTAATTTTTGTTTAATACTAATAATAAATAATGATCAAATCATAGAAACATAAATATCTATTCTGCCACGGTACCTGATAGAATGCATCATCTTGATTTGGGTTTATTTCAATATCAAGTTAATTATATACAAGAACTTTTAAAGTTGCAACATGGTAATCATTTAGTAGATAAAATAGATCATAGATTAGTGGAAATACCAAGATTTACAAATTTAAAAATTTTTAAAACTGGATTACAATCAATTGCAAGATTAACGGCAAACAAATATCGTAATCTAATGAAAGTAATGATTTTTGTAATTGATAATTTATATAAAAAAAATACCAAAAAAATGAAAAACTTTATTGCAAATAAAAATTTGGTAAAACTTTACGAATTGTGAAATAATATGTATAAAATGAGTATATATGAAATTTTTAATCAAAACAATTTGAATAAATTCGAGGTATGTATAAAACCTTGACAAGTTCTATATTTTGTATTGTAATTTAATTAAAGTTAGTACATTTTAGGAATCTATATATGAATAGTCATAGAACTTCATCCGAATTTTTCAACAATTTTCTCTGTCTGAGCTAAAACTTCCGAAACTATACTTATGGATTTATCATGTGATCGATTCAATACGAAATTTTAGCGCAATTAATGGATATACTATAGAGACTTACAAAGCCTTCATCGTGAATATGTTAAGGTCTATTATCGATTAAGCAATAAAAAAATATTGAAACTCAATTAATGCAAATAGTAAGTATTTAATATATAAAATACACAATATTATGTAGTTTTTTTTAAGAGATTATATTTTATTAGATTCGTTGCTAATCAATCATCAAAATAACCTCGCAAAATCAATCAACAAATTTGAAAATAACTCCTCGTGCATTTAAATTTTCATTAAAGCTCTTTGAATTTTCGTTAATGAATACATTTTTATTTTTTGAGGAAAAAAAAGTAGAAACTAATATAGATGATAAAATAAAGACTGGGTTTAATCAGTTTTTAGTATATATGGATTCATATTTAGATCTAATTAAAATAAATGAAATAGACAGTACTTAAATAAAAGTAATAATATACGGATCAGTAACATTAGAAAATGATGCAATAATGTGTGCAAATAGCAGTTATAATCAAAACCCTTGGTTTAGTAATATTTCTGTTGTTATGAATTCTGAAGAATTATTTGAATACGTATCTGATCAAGGCGTTTGTTATGGACAGGTATTTATTTAGTTTTAAATATTGATGCATTTTTTATTATTCTATATATATTGATGATTTTTAATATATTTAAGGTATTATTAATAGAAAAGATTGAAATAGAAAAAGAAAAACCTCTACTGAATCTGGCATTAATTCAATGGTATGACTTTAAGTCACAGAGTCAACCATATTACCACAGATGTTCTCAATTACAAATTAAAGAATTATATAATTTTATAAAAACAGAAGCTATACGAGATAATGCATATAATATTACGTTTTAAAAGTAAAAAAAATAAAATCTTTATATAAATTTATATGAATATGCAAAAATTAGCAATAATTATATATGAAGTCAAAATGGATCATTTCGGATATCTGAAATGGTTGAAATGGTCGAAATCATTTCGACCATTGGGGCTAAAGTCGTGAAGGAGTCAAAATGATATCATATTACATGATTTTTATATAAAAAAAATGTATGATCTCAGTCAATATCGCACCAATTCATATGAAACAACTACCATTCGATTCCTCGAAACTAGGCGGATATAATGAGCTAACATTCATTGATTTTAGATCATCCAATCACGAGATACTCACAATTGTATTATCGGCTGAAATTATAAATCAATAAATTCTACTTTAAATAAAAGAGTCTGGATTTTGAAATATGATCGCAGATATCTCGAGATAGGATGATCCAAAATCAATGAATGTTAGCTCATTGGATTTGTCTAGTCGCGTGGAATCGAATGGTAGTTGTTTCATACGAATCGGTGCGATATTGACCGAGATCGTACCTCTTTTGTATTTTTTTTATATATATAAAAAATCATGTGATATAATGTAATTTCAACCATTTCGACTTTTTATTTTGACTTTGACCTCCAAAGTCGAAACATTTTGACTTTCTGGGTTTTCATTTCGACTTCATATATAGCAATAATATCTGTAATTTATGTGTAATTATGTGTAATAAGAACGTAATTTTATGTAATAAAATACGTAATTTGTTTGTTGACTGTCCTGCAAGTGTTAGACTTAATGTTTGTGATGTATTTTTATAAAAAAATGTGAATAAGTCCAATTGTACAAACAAAGAACTTAACTTCATTTGAAGTTTTAAGCAAATATTTTTTAAAGTTCAAAGCCAATCATCATGTCGATCATTTCTAAAAAAAATATTTTTGCAAAAGTCCTTAATCTATCACATGCGTAATTTATTTATTTACATTTTTTATATTTAACCATTTGTTTTTTTCTTCTCATTTGGTTTTTTTTTTATTGTGGGTTTTTTTTCGAATAAAGTTGTTTTTTGACAAGATGATTAAATATTTTAAATAATTTAGGGGGTTTTTTTTTTTGCCTTTCTTTTTATAAATTTTTGCAATGATTAATATTGAAGAGTCTGAAAATAATTCCACAAAACAACCCCTTTTATTTTAATTTTCGCAGTATAACGAAACAAATTTTTTTTGATGTTTTTTTTATCCTTTTTTTTAAAAAAGTTGGCATAAATTTTTATAAAATAATACAAGTTTTACGTTTTTTTTTTATAGTGTAATGTTTCATTTCTTTTTTTTAGTAAAATAACTTATTAACAATAATCATTTATAGTATAAAATCTAATTTTATTTTATTTTATTTTTCATTTTCATTTCATTTTCTCTTAAAAAATTTAAAATGTATAGAAAAAAAGTATCAAATCAACTAACTCAAGAACAAGCTGAACCAAGTAAAAGAGCAAAAAATTTGAGCTCTAACGATAATAATGTCGACAGGTCAGCTGTTGAAGATATATAAAAATATTAAATTTGAGTTCATTTTAAAAGGCATGCATATAGATTTTTTTTAAAATAAGTTTTATTTTATTTATACAAAGTTTTGACAAAAACTTTAGAAAAAATATTAAATCAAAATGCGAGGCTTAATACCAAACTTAATACATTAATAGCAGGTCAAAAAAAACTGGAGGAAAGAATCATAAAGTTGGAAGAGGATTGTATAAAGCATATAGGCTTTATAAAACTTTTGAAAAGGTAAGGAATTGTTTATATTATTCCAGTTTTATATTAGTTATCGTTAAAAAACTAATGTGTATTATATAATCATATTTTTTTATTTTGATTTATTTTATTATAGAATCTGATTAAAAATATAGCAAAAGAGACACTATCTAGATTGATATATCCAACACAAAAGAATTACGAGAAATTACGGAAGAATATGTATTGACAAACCACTTCGAATTTTTTGGTAAATATACCAGAAAGCATTGGACATCTTTTTATGAAAAAAATATTTATCATGCTGTAAGCTTGCATACTTAAATTCAAATTTGATCGAGTTTTTATATAATTTTAATTTTTTCGATTTTTATTTAACAGTTATTAAAACAACATTAGAGCCTTCGTGATACCTTAATGTCTTGAATTAAAGATGCAATGTTTTCGGTATTTGGTGAGGCCCAGCTACTACCAATTGACTACCTCTGCGTATCCATCAAAAAATGTCACGAAATGGCCGACATTAAAAATCAGTAACATGCATGATCATGCATATGGGCCTGCAAAAGTCTTAATGCGGGTCGACGTGATATTTTTTGATGGATACGCAGGGGAAGTCCTACCAATCAGTTGTTTATCACGTTGTATACTATTGTGTAATGGTGTATACAAATGCATACTGTGACTTGTCAAAAATTAAAAATTTAAATTTAAACTTTATTTTTACGAATTAAAACATGTATACATTTACAAAATATTCATTTGGTCATTCAGCACGTTGAATTATATGCAATAATTCAATGATTGACTCTACAGGCACAATGTTATATGTGTTTGTAATTTGTAATAAGAGGCAATCAATCATATTTGTATAAACGTCTTGGATCATATATGTAACAAAAATCATACCATCATACAAGGGCAAGGTCAAAAGATAAATAATCTTTCATTTCAACATTAATTAACATAAGAACCTAAATACATAAAATATATTGATAATTGATATTGTTGTTAATATAAAACTACTAGTATTATTAACTGTATCTTGTCAAAACATAAACTTTCATCTGTATTATAGTCTTCAGTTTCTTCTTCGCTCATGTTGATTGATACATTGCTAAATGACAATTCATTGTAATATTTGCTTTTTGCTCTAATATAATCTCCATTAGAAATAGCATTAGTATAGCTATACCAGCTAATTTTATAATTAATCGCGTCAGTTAAGCCTTCACATAAGTCAAAAAATTTGTTTAACGCTAGTAGAAAGTGTTCAAAAGCCATTAAAGCTTTATCGGCCAAATTATTTGTTAACTTATAATTATTAAAAAATTTGTCAAAATCTTTTAAAAAAACGTGTCTAAAAGGCCGTTTATTGTAGTTTTTTGTCAGCATTGGTTAACAGCTACATGTTGATGTGGCAAGTATTTAACTATTAAATTATGATAAACCTATAAAAAACAATAGCAATTTAACATATATAATCGTTAAAATAATGAGTAAAATAGATACTAACTATTTTAATCATTTGATCTATTGCATTATGCTTGTTATTGGCTCTATACGGTTTTTTAACAGAATCTTTGTGCAAAGATTCATATATTTCTGTTGTAAAACCATTAATCGCCCTATGTTCTTTAATTGCTACGATGACATGATAACACCAGTTATGTAGCTTTGGTAATCAAAGCTCTGATGGAGAATACGATTTAAAGAGCTTTACAAACAATGTTATCCAACTCATAATTAATTCCTACAAATATAATTAATTCATTACATTAATAATTAGACTTTAGTATCATAACTTTAAAAATTCATTAATCCATCATACCTCAAAAATATACAACTCTGATTCCAAAAAATATTCCCATTGACTGTACAAGTATATCTTATTCCAGCTATAGTACATGCTAACTAATAGTTTATCAACCTTTTTGGCTTGATTTTTGCTTACCAATTCTTTGTGATGCTTTTTGATTAATCCTTCAATAATGAAAAAAAACACCTTCATCATATTCCAAAAATTATCTGCCATAAACCGCTTAATATTTTTCAACCTATTTTTAAACAACTTGAGTCTGGGAAATCTTAGAATTTCAGCTAGACGATTATCAAATTCATTAACTACTACTTTACCACAGTAATTCATCTGCAATTCCCTTGTATAATTCACTTGGTAATTGAACAAGCCCAAGTCAAGATGATGTATGCAGTTGGGAATTATTGCCAAATAAATGTTTAAATGATTAAGTAAATAAATGTTATTAAGAAATTGTCATAATTAATTCTTTTTATTGATCACATAATACGTACAGGTATTTTCAGAAGATGTTTTCCATATTATATAAAGAGTATTATTGTGTAAAACATTGTTCAACAATACTCTTCATACCTTCTGGTGTTCTCAGAATAATTCATTCATTTTTCAATTTTACATTATTCAGACTTCCACTTTCTATTAAACACTGATGACACAGGTATTTACAATTGACTGAATTATACGTTAGAGTTACCGCAGCATTTTCTGAAAAATCTCCTAATATCACAAAAATAAACGGGTAACACCAAAATAATTCATTGTTATCCATTTTAAGGTCAATCCTATCGGCCTTATAATCAAGTATCAGGTATGTCAATATACTTAAAGCATATTGATAAAGGACACGTTTAGTCAATTGAAAGCTCTTAGATTGTTTTTTAAAGTTGGTTTTTGCCTTCAATTGTGAAAGATATCCTAAAAGAACTTTTGCATCAGATTTATTCCTAATTCAGCTAGGTATATTTCCTAAGGTTAAATAAATGGGATGTTAGCTGGTTTTGCCCAATTGGTCGCATGTCGTCGTGTCAGAATACATGATTATCGACAAGACTTTTGCTTTGCTGAAAATTGAATTTTGTACCCTTTCCCACACTTCCCATTATACTGTTCATGATAAATTCTCTGACCTTCATAATTCAATAGCTCAAATTTAAATTTACAATGATGAAATATATTTTGATTGCTTAACAACTCCTTTATAGTATCAAAAATTTGATGGTAATAAAGGTAATATGTTTTCTCTTTATATACTATAATAGGAATCTTTTTAAAAGAAATATGTAATACATTCATCTGATCTAACAACTGACAGCCTTTTTTCACAAACATTGGTAAAATTATATCATCGCGACAAATCTTTTTTGAAATTTAAGTATATCGCTGCCACATGTATCTGAAAAGTTCTATTTGTTAAGTAACTTCATAAAATCTCTAAATTCATTGCTTGGAAATTCTGGTATGTCTGTTATTGAATTACTAATATTAAGAGACTTAAGGATTGGACTTGTTTTAACAGGAAGCAATAAATACTTGATCTCGTTGTTATCGATCATCTGCTATATATAGATATTAATATAATATCGCATCAAATAACTATGTAACACATTGATCTCCCACCTCTTCTTTAAGTTGTTTTTCGTAACTAAACTCTTTCTCTTCTTCAAGTTGTTTGTCATAACTCAACTCTTCTTCTTCAAGTTATTCTTTGTAACCAAACTCCTCCTCTTCTTCAAGTTGTTCATTATAACTCAACTTCTCTTCTTCAAGTTATTTTTCGTAACCAAATTCCTCCTCTTCTTCTAGTTATTCATCATAACTTAACTCTTCCTTTTCTTCTAATTGTTCATAGGCCTGTTCTACTTCTTCAAAAATTTTTTGTAAAGCTCTGTCAACTATTGCATTATCATGAACCTTTACGTGATTTTGTAGCGAAACATGACAATTAAACTCTTTTCCACAAGTTGAACATGTATAACTTGGCATTTTTTTTAATAAAATAAGATATGGATTTAACTACTAAGTTAAATTAATGTGATGAATTTAAGGATTTCAGAACATCATGATGTTTAAACTGAATTGAATTGATTAATGATCAATTCATGCCCCTCATCATTAAATTAATCAACGAGATTAATCACGTCATCTAAAAACACAAAAATAAAAAGAATCGAGAAACACCAATATCCAACATCTTTTTTACTCTCTTATTTTTGCCTATCATATTCACTATAATGAGTACTATTAATTACAATAACTTAAAATGTCCAAAGACAAGATCAATAATGACAAATGAAAAGGTAATTATATATTGTTTATTAATTACATTTGGTTGATTTATTTCTATGTTTGTTAATTTGTTATACTTTCTTTTAGACTCTGGAAAATAAAGGTATGAAGAAAACTTCTTTGTTTATTAAAATAAATTAAGCATACTAATTTTTAAAATTAAACTTAGCATCAAAAGAACGCCTGAGTTCTACTGATACTAATACTAAGGTTACCAAGAAATCTGTTGACAGACACAATCAAATACTAGAAACCCCAAGGAATATGTTGACAGACTACGATTAAATACTAGGAAATCTGAGGAATCTGTTGACAGACCACGATCAAATACTAGGAAATCTGAGAAATCTGTTGACAGATCATGATCAAATACTAGGAAAATAAAAATTCCAAAGATCGATTTATTTTCAAACAATGATTTTATCTTTCAGACAAGTTCAAGTAATACTACTAGGGTATGTCAAGAAACGACTCAATTAGCAATGGCAAATTATATTTTTTATTATTGTTACTTGTTTTAACTAACTCTCAATGTATTTATTTATCACGTAAATAGAAGAAACATCAATAATGCCTTTACCTAATATAGTTATACCTCATTTTACACATCGAACGACATCTAAAACATCTAAGACGAGCTCTGAAGTATCTCAAGGTTCTAAAAAATCTGCTGAAGGTCAAATAGAATTTACATCAACATATATCTTGCGTTTATTAATATGATATTAAATTAATTCTAATTTATTAGCTGATTATATGCGAGAATTAACAAAAATAATTAAAATCTGTCAAAGCAATTCAACAAAACTGAACGAATTAATTGTAAATCAAGAAAAACTAGAGGAGAAGATAAACAATCAGGACAATAAAATATCAACAATATTGTCATTGTTAAATGATTACTACGAGAAGATCCACCTTGAAATTGAAACGAAAGATAAAGAAAAAAGTAAAGTTAAGAAAGAGGAAGATTTTTACCATGTAAATAAATATAAATAATTTATTAAATATTTGCTTATAGTTATATTTGTATTATAGGACATGATTAAAAAGCTTGCCTATGAAATATTTCACAAGCATAAACAGTTATCTGAATAACAGATAAAAGAACGTTTTAAAGAAAAATTAGACAGTGATGAACATTACGTTGATTTTCTTCAGAAGTCTAATGAAAGAGGTTTAACCTTTGATGAATTGTAGAATAGAAAAATGTATTCCTCTGTAAGTACTAGTGTTCCAATTTATATAACATTATATTAGTTAGTGTACTAATATGTTTAGTAAATTAGCTACTCATCACAGTCTGTTCAAAAAGAGGCTACTATGTAAGAAGAGTTAAAGAAAGTTTGTGATTGACATTTGGTATAAACCGAATAAAGCCTTTTAAAGATACTTATACCAAACATCAGATGAAAGAGTAGAAGCAAAATAAAAATGTTCGACAAGTATATGACGATTTATACAAGCCTATTGATTCTGAAGATACGCAAGCTGACACATATATTTCTTTAATAATTAAATCCGTTTTTACAGTTGACAAAGAACGTACACAATTAAATGGGATTTGGGTTCAGTCAGTTCTCGAGATAATTTTTGATGAAAAACATCTTTCGTCGATAATTGACTCTGATGTAGTATAAAATTGGACTGAAGTGATTATTGACACCGAAATGGTAAGTATACAGACTAAATTTATAATAGTATTTAAACTTAATTACTAATACAGTCACACCTTGATATAATGAAGTTGCCGATCCAGTCGATCAGGACTTCATTATAAGAATTTTCGTTATAGCATTAACGAATTATTCGTTATAGTAGATGATTACTGATTTCATTACACAAATATAATTTTACTATAATATAATTTTTCCAGAAA